GCTCGCTCGTCGCTCACGCGACTCCCGGATAAAATACCGCGTGCGCGTGTCCGGTGTTCGTCACGCGTGTGTCACGAGGAAATCGCCGCTGGAACGATGTCGCGAGTGTTTTTTTTTTTTTTTTTTTTTTTCCATTCCCCCGACCCTTTCGTTTTTTCACGCTCGCATTTTAATCGACTTCGCGATTCGGGACGCCGTTATTTTCGACCGACGCACTCGGCCGGATATCGGAATCGGTATGACGATATTAATGGATAAACGACGAGAGACGGCGGGAGGTACTCGTTTTTGTGCCGCGTCAAATCTCCGCCGTTACAACGTTTGACCTATTTGTCAGTTAACTTGGTGCACCACGTCGACAATACGAGCGCGGGCGATAGACGGAACAAAAGACAGGGCGCATTATCGATTCTTTTCACGTCGTCGCGCGAACGCGACGGAAGGAGATCCCTGCTGCTGCTGCTGCTGCTGCTGGGATACGCGTTGTCTGGTTTCGTGACGCGATGAAAACTAGCTGACGCGACTCGATTGGATGCGACGTGACGTTACGCGAGACGGAAAATTGATTTAATCTAACTTTCCGTGTATAACAGGACGCAAACGATTCGAAACAACAGCGGACACAATGAGTTTTCGGGTTCTTCGTATACTTTAACGGACGTTTTATCCATGTCCCATCCCTCCCTCTTCTATCTCTAATCCACCCACCGGTGCGCTCGCGCGCGCGCGCACACACACACACACACACATACAGTGCTCCGGCGGCGTATGTACACAGACGTGCGCGCGTACACATGGCCACATCCGGTATTCTCCGCAAGCCGCGGGGTATTGCAATCACGCGGACGTTAGCCGGGCTTTACAGGCCGAGCGAGCGAGAACCGCCGCCGGTGTGCAGGGGCTTACCAGAAACCAGGGAGTTAGCCGAACACGCCAGTTTATTTGCTCGCGCAGCATAATACCACCAAAGTCCGACGAGCAGCCGTTGGTTTACTCGTTAGCGCAAGTAACGGCTTCCGGTTAGTCGGCAGAGGTTGGCGGCGAGCATGGCTTTGTTGCCACAAACTCTGTGTATTTCTCTCTCTCTCTCTCTCTCTCTCTCTCTCTCCCTCCCTCCCTCCTCTGTTTCTCTCTTACGTTACTGGATGCTGATTCTTCGATTAAACATTTTCCAGCGTAGCGCGGAGGGATAAAGTTCGTCGCCGGATAGAGACGCGCGATAAGAGATAAGATCGTGCCTCGATATTTGCTGCATAGTATAGAACGCAGTCGGATTTGCAGAGGCCCACCTCCTCTCGAGGTAGCTCTTCGAGTATCGGATTATCGGCAGTATCGGGCTGGGCCGGGGCGGTGAAAGAGCATTCAGTTCACGTCACCGTTTTACAGGCGAGGAATTTTATCGACGGCACTCGGGCGCTTTGCATTTTCATGCCGTGAATGTTGCTGCCTGCTTTTAGACATACGCTACAGCGTATGTTGTTTATATGTATGGGAGAGCGTCTCGGAGAGTGCCTGATTCCTTTTGAGATACGTCGTCGTGTGTTCGTAACCGCGTGTCCGGGTGTGCAAGCGCGCGACACAACGGCGATGCCGCGCGCGCGCGCGCGCGCGCGTGTGTGTGTGTGTCAGTATGTG